TGCACTGGCAGAGTCTGTCTGATGGAACTGTTTTGATACTCTGAAGCTTCAGAATCTTGGAATTTCTAGGGGGAAGGTTTGGACAGTAAATTTTGATTAGTATCAGCTGCGGCCATATATGTGTTCCAGGAGCAGCTTGTACTCAGCTTGCAGAGGACAGAGTGGGCAAAAAGGATCCTGTCTTCCAAATAATGGAATGTTTTCACTGGTTATTGACTGATTATTACTTCTGATATTAGAGGTGCAAAAAGGCTAGTGGCCACTGTTGTACACCCTCCACCCCATTATTGCAAGCCCCTTTCTCTCTGGATGCAGTGACTTCCAGATAATTTTAAGAACTAGCTCTCTTCCTCTTCTTCCTTTCATTTTTCTTTTTTCTCCATTTGGAAGCCAGACATTGAAGTCTGTGACATTTAGAAATAACTTCAGGGTAAGCATTTGGTGCAGTGGCTTAAGCTGCCACTTAGAAAGTCTACATCCTGTATTAGAGTGCATGGTTCAACTCCTGGCTCTAATCCAGATTCCTGCTAATATACAGCTTTGTAGGTGATAACTCAAGTACTTGGCTCTCTGCCACTGCCACTTGCTTGGAAAGCCCTGATTGAGTCTCGTGCGCCTGGTCCAGCCCCAGCTGCTAAGGGCATTTGGAGAATGAACCAGCACATGGAATCTCTCTGTTTCTCTGTCTCTCTGGATTTCAAATAAAATTTGAAAATAATAATTTTTTAAAAATATTTATTTATTTATTTGAGAGTCAGAGAGAGAGAGGTCTTCTATCCATTGGTTCACTCCCCAGATGGCTGCAATGTTTGGAGCTGTGACCATCTGAAGCCAGGAACCAGGAGCTTTTTCCGGGTCTGACATGCAGGTATGGGGGCCTAAGAATTTGGGTGGTCTTCCACTGCCTTCCCAAGCCATAGCAGAGAGCTGGATCAGGAGTGGAAATGCTTGGACTAGAACCAGTGCCCATATGGGATGCCGGCACTGCAGGTGGCAGCTTTACCTATTACGCCACAGTGCTGGCCCCCGAAGATAATTATTTTAAAAATCTCATATATGGGGGAAATTGGAAAGATACTTCATATACCTAGGGAGAGGTGTGTGCTCAGAAAAGAGTTGAGAAGGCTGATTGTTGGTACAGAGATAGTCCACAATAATAGAAAGAAAAAACAGAAAACAGCAAACCCTGAGGGAGGGGAGAATTTGATTTTATGAGTTGTTGCCACATTGTTAGATTAAAATGTGCAGTTCTCAGTGAAAATCACAAGGCATACAAAAAACGAGGAAAAAACAGCCGATTCAGAGGAAAAAAAGTAAAATCGTCTCTTGAAGAGATCTGAAAGTATCCAAAAGGTTGTGGAGAATGTAAAGAAAACGTATGACCAAGGTGGAAACCTGGGGCCAGCATTGTGGCACAGTGAGTTAAGTAGCCTCCTGTGACTCTCCTATCCTGTGTGGCCTCTGCTTGAGTCTTGGCTACTCTGTTTCCAAACCAGCTCCCTGCTAATGCAGCAGGGAAGAACGGAGAGTGGCAGAAGATTGCCCAAGTAATTGTGTGCTTTACCCATGTGGGAGACCTAGATGGAGTTTCAGGTTTTTGACTTCAGCCTGGTCCAGCCCTGGCTATAAGAGTAATTTGGGGAGTGAACCAATGGATAGACTATTTCTCTCTATTTCTCCTCTTTTCTGTTACTGTGCCCTTCAAATAAATAAGTTTTTGTTATTAAATAAAAGATGAAAACAAGAATAACAACATAGAAAACCTAAAATGAAACCAGAAAGGAATTCTGGAACTGCAAAATACAATAACTGAAATGAAAAACACATTAGAAAGAAGTGACTTATTATATACAAGGAACTCTTTAAGATGATCAGATTTCTCATCACAACTTTGGAGGACAGATGACTACGAACTGATATATTCCAAATGTAAAAGAAAGCTGTCAACCAGAAATCCTAAATCTGGTAAAACTGTTCGTCAAAAGTAAGGGATAAGTTAGACCTTCTCAGATAAACCTAAGTTGTGGATGTTCATTGCCACTAGACCTGCTGTCCGAGAAATGCTTAAGAGTCCTGGAAGTTAAGGTTGAAAGGACACTAGACAATAATTCAAAGCTATATGAAAAAATGAATATCTCAGTAAAGTAGTGGGCAATTATAAAACCTAGTATTGTAATAACTATGTAATTCTACTTTTTTTCTATATGATTTAGGAGACTAGTACATTTAAAAAACAGTCTGAAAGCTAGTATTATAAGTTTGGTTTGTAACCCTATGTTTTGCTTTCTGCATAATTTAAGGAATGCATTTAAAAGAGTGGTTTATGTTTTTGGATGCACAATGCATGAAGCAGAAATTTTCTGACAGCAATGGAAAGGGGTGAGGAGGTAGCTTAAAGGAGCATTTTAAAAAAATATATATTATTGAAAAATTTTTTTAATTTTTTCTTTATAGGGATAGACAGTGAGAGAGAGAGAAAGGTCTTCCTTCCGTTGGTTCACCCTGCAAATGGCTTCTATGGCTGGTTCTGCGCCGATCTGAAGCCAGGAGCCAGGTGCTTCTTCCTGGTCTCCCACGCGGGTGCAGGCACCCAAGCACTTGGGCCATTGGGCCATCTTCCACTGCCTTCCTGGGCCACAGCAGAGAGCTGGACTGGAAGAGGAGCAACCAGGACTAGAACCCAGCGCCCATATGGGATGCCGGTGCCTCAGGCAAAGGATTAGCCAAGTGAGCCACGACGTTGGCCCCTATTATTGAAATTTTTGAAAAAGATTTATTTATTAGAAAGGAAGAGTTACAGAGAGGGAGAGGGAGAGAGACAGATCTTCCATTTGCTGGTTTACTTCCCAAATGACTGCAATAGCCAGAGCTGTGCTGATCTGAAGCCAGGAGCCAGGAGCTTCTTCTGGGTTTCCCACATGGGTGCAGGGGCCCATGTACTTGGGCCATCTTCTGTTGCTTTCTCAGGCATATTAATAGGGAGTTGGACTGAAGTGGATCAGCTGAGACTTAACATGGTGCCCATATGGTTGCTAGTGTTGCAGGCTGTGGATTAACCTGCTGTGCCACAACACTAGGCCCATGGTGTTGAAATTAAGCTGGTATTAGGGCGTTATAAATTCAGGTTGTTAAATGCAACCTTCATGTTAATCACAAATAAGAGATGTAGAATATACACAAAAGGAAATAAGAAAGGATTTAAACATTTTACAACCAAAAAACTCAAATGTTAAGGAAGAGAATGATGAGAAACAGAAAACTTTTAAGGCACATAGAAAACAAATATTCCTTCTGCTGAGAATTTTTTGTGTGTGTTGTACATTGTGGTTCTTTCTTAAATATTTTCCAGTATTCATAACACAAAATTAAAATTTTAATACCAGAGTTCTTTGTTCAAACTCTGACTACGTCTTTTAAAATTTCAAGAGATTTATCAGTGCAGTGTTTATTAGAATACTTCAGAAATACTAACTTATTAACATATATAGCATCAATTTAATTTAATTTTTCCTTAAAAGTAAGTAAAGTCAAGAAAAAAATTAAGTAAAATATACTTTGGAAAGTAAAATTGACTTAATAAAGGTTTCCTCCCCTGCCAGAAGGAGGTATTTCCTCAGCATGTTTCTGCCTGCAGGCAGGTGTGACTGTTTAAGTGTCCATGAAAATCCGGGCAGTTTGCTTGTCTGCTGGAACGTATCTGTAGGTAGTTTATAGATAGATCCTGTCTGTATACTAGCAACTGATAGTTTCTACTTACTGATTGAGAGAATAGTCTTCTGTTCAGGATGATCAAAACTCATTTTGTATTCAGCCTTTGGATGAAAATGCGATTGTTTATTTTTGCAGATGTTGTTTGTTAAAGATTTCAGCAGTGACAAGGAAAGTGGGAGGAGGGAATCAGATACTATTTCTTAACTAGAAAAAGCTTATGTTGTAAGTAGTTGGACAAGAGGGGCATTTTGAGTATTTCTAGCATATATTTTCACTTCTTGCAGTTATTGGTGTCTTAAAGACTTGTGATTAGTTTAGAATGAATGGGAGGAAGATGGACTACAGGGAAGAAAATTATTTTATTTCACAGTGTAGATATACCTCACATTATGCCTTAGGTATCTTTTAATGTTTTACGTATTAAAAAAACCAAATATTTGTTTTTTTGTTTTTTTTTTTTTTTTTATTTTTGACAGGCAGAGTGGACAGTGAGAGAGAGAGACAGAGAGAGAAAGGTCTTCCTTTTGCCGTTGGTTCACCCTCCAATGGCCGCCGCTGCAGCCGGCGCACCGCGCTGATCCGATGGCAGGAGCCAGGATCCAGGTGCTTTTCCTGGTCTCCCATGGGGTGCAGGGCCCAAGCACCTGGGCCATCCTCCACTGCACTCCCTGGCCATAGCAGAGAGCTGGCCTGGAAGAGGGGCAACCGGGACAGAATCCGGCGCCCCAACCGGGACTAGAACCCGGTGTGCCGGCGCCGCAAGGTGGAGGATTAGCCTATTGAGCCACGGCGCCGGCCAAATATTTGTTTTTGATCTAAGTGTGTATGTATATGTATTAGAACACTAAGTTTATATTTTGCTTGGAAGAGATGGGCTGAAATTTTTTTAAAATTCTTGTGTTGACAGCTAATCTCTAATTAGCTATATTGAACAAATGTAGTTTAAAAAGAGGGAAACCTATACTGACTTCGATTTTACATTTTTCATTTGAGACAATGAAACTACTATAACTCATTTCAAAAGTATTTCTGGGCTATTTATATGACTAGCTCATTTTGTGAATAATAGAACACATAAAAATGATAAAATTCAGTAACAAATTCAGATATATCTTGACTGCCAGGGTCAAAAAGCAAAACAAATTTTTCAGATGACACAGGAGACATTTGCTTCAATATCCATATAATTATGTGCACTCCTTATAAATTCAGTCATTCTTGTTTTAATACAACTCAGTTGACTTGAGCAATGTGCACATATTTTGAACTTTTTTTTTTTTTTTTGACAGATAGAGTTAGACAGTGAGAGCGAGAGACAGAGAGAAAGTTCTTCCCTCCGTCGGTTCACACCCCAAATGGCCACCATGGCTGGAGCTGCACTGATCCGAAGCCAGCAGCCAGGTGCTTCCTCCTGGTCTCCCATGCAATGCAGGGCCCAAGCACTTGGGCCATCCTCCACTGCCCTCCCGGGCCACAGCAGAGAGCTGGACTGGAAGAGGAGCAACCGGGACCAGAACTCAGCGCACATATGGGATGCTGGTGCTGCAGGTGGAGTATTAACCAAGTGAGCCACGGCGCCGGCCCCTTGAACTTTTGTATAATGGTAATATAAATGTGTGTAAGTATTAGTGATCATTTCTATAATTATGTCTGTGGTTGTAGATTGGCAGTTAAAGCAAGGATATGAACTTTTGTTTTGTTCATAGATGTAAACTGGTGAAACAACATAAGAGTAGTATGTGCCTGACTGGTGAAAGGGACTGCTATTTTTTTTTTTTTTTACTATGAGTGTTTACATCTGATAAAATTCCTTTTTAAAAAACATTTTACTTGTATATTTAAAGGCAGAGTTACAGAAGATGGGGGGTGGGGGGGGAGAGAGAGAGAGAGAGAGAGAGTGAGAGAGAAACATCTTTCTTCCATCTGTTGGCTCACTCCCCAAATGGCTGTAATGACTAGGACTGGGACAAGCCAAAGCCTGATGAGTGGTAAGAACTTCAACTGGTTCTCACACGTGAGTGGCAGTGGCTCAAGCCCTTGGCCATCTTCTGCTTCCTTCCCAGGTGAATTAGCAGAGAACTGGATCAGAAATGGAACAAGACTCAAACTGGAGCTCATATGGGATGTTGGTGTTGCAGGCAGCAGCTTAACTCTCTGTGCCACAATGCCAGCCTCTAAAATTCCCTTTTTAATTGGAACCATAATTAGTTACCTATAAATAAAATATGAGAATTTGCAAGGTCATTAGAAATTTATTGATATTTATAACCAATGCGTTTTTCAAAATTAGAAAAAAATTTTTTTAAAATATTGGAAATAATCATATTGTCAAGTAGGAAGTAGGTTAAGTATGCAAATGATATATTAAGTCAGAGACAATAGTGCAGCTAACATAAACATGCTTTAAATATATATAGAAATATGAAAAATTATGATTAAAAGTTATAAAACAACATCTACAGAAAAAAACCAAAATTTTTACACACATATGTATATGCTTGAAATTCTGGAAAGTGTAGAATTTTGGAGTGATGAGAATTGTCATTTTTTTCTTCATGCGTGATTTTATAAAATTTATATAATATGAATATATGTACATTGTTTTATACATTTTATGTTACATGTAACATTTTAAAAAAACTGTTTATTTATTTGAGAGAGTTACAGACAGAGAGAGGGAGAGACAAAGAGAAAGATCTTGCATCCGCAGGTTCACTCCCCAAATGGCGTCAATGGCCGGAGGTGGCTGAACCGAAGCCAGGAGCCTGGAGCTTCTTCCAGTGGGTACAGGGACCCAAGTGCTTGAGCCATCTTCCACTGCTTTCCCAGGCCATAGAAGAGAGCTGTATTGGAAGAAGAGTAGCAGGGACTTGAACCAGTGCCCGTATGGGATGTTAGTGGCAAAGGCGGAAGCTTATCCTACTGTGCCACAATGCCGGCTCGCTATAACATTGTTTTAAATGTGTTAACAATATAGTTATTTTTGTATACAAAAAGAAATTATTAATCTTTTAATGTCATATACCATTGGTAATACATAGTAAAAATGCATGTTAAGTGGCAGAACTAGTTGCAAAACCAAGCAGTAGGCAGATTATTTATAGATAACTGGACAGAATATGAAGGAGATTTTTTCTTCGATTTTTATTTATTTGAGAGAGAAACAGAGAAAACTTCCTTCTGCTAGTTCAGTTCCCACATTTTCTGCAACATCTGGGCCAAAGCATGTTTCTGCAGCCTGTTTCTGGAAAGCAGAGAACCCAATACTTGAGCCATCACTGTTGCTCCTGGGGTTTGTGTTACAGAAAGCTGGACTCAGGAGCTGGACCTGGGCATTGAACCCAAGTACTCTGTTAACAGGATGCATGTGCCTTAACCAGCATCTTAACTGCTAGGCTAGCCACCTGCCTCTGAAAGAAATTCCCATGTGAAGTTTGAATGTTGTCTTCTCCTCTGCCCCACTTTTTTTTTTTTTTTTAAGTTTTTTAAAGATTTTATTGATTTACCCGAGAGATAGATTTGCAGATATTGAGAGGGAGAGAGAGAGAAAGGTCCTCCATCTGCTGGTTCACTCCCTAATCGGCCACCAATGGCTGGAGCTGTGCCGATCCAAAGCCAGGAGCCAGGAACCTCCTCCGTGTCTCCCACTCGGGTGTGGGGGCCTAAGCACTTGGGCCGTCTTCTACTGCTTTCCCAGGCCACAGCAGAGAGCTGAATGGGAAGTGGAATAGCCAGGACTCGAACCAGCGCCCATATGGGATGCCAGCACCACAGGCTGAGGATTAACCCACTGCGCCACAGCAGTGACCCCTCCACTCATGTTTGTCTACCTGTAAAATTGACTCCTAAAAGTCTTCTTGGAAACATGATCAAGTCAGCAGGATAGCTACAATATGAGAAATTGAGCTTAACTTCTTAGATTGTGTGCATGTGTGTGTGTAAGAAAAACTCACTGTACTTAGAAACATTAAAATATGGATTTGAGCTCATTATACAAGATTTTTTTTAATGCTCTAGTAAGTCTTCCAATTATAAAATTTTCTATTTTAAGTTCTTCTAACACTTGTATGTGAATTTTCTATCCACTGAGCTAGATGCCACAGTAAGACATTATTAGCAAAAAAAAAAAAAAACCCAAATAGTTTTGGACCAGTATTCCTCATGAACATAGACAAGAAGTCCTCAATAAAATATTAACATACTGGACTTTCCAGTAAATAAAAAGAAAAGTGCATCACAACTAAGTGGGATTTTATCCTAGGAATGGAATGGGTTTGTAAACAGCTGGGACTTGAACCCAAGTGTGGTTTGGAAGAATCAATATTGTTAAATTGTTAATTCTCCCCGGAGATGATTGATAATTTCAGTGTAATCCTAATCAAAATTAGAGCAGATTTTTTTTGTTGGAATCAGTAAATAGACTCAAAAATTTATACAGAAAAAAAAGAAATTGGAACAGCTGAACAATTTGGAAAAAGATCACATTTAGAGAACTCACGTACTGATTTAAGAACCTACCATAAAGCTACTGTGATTGAAACAAGGTGATGTCAGTGAAAGAGTAGACCTGTAGACCAATGTAACAGAATATTGAGTCCAGAAATAGACCCATACATACTTCATTTTTGACAAAGATACATAATCAATTCAATGGTATGGGAACATTTGGACATTTTGTAAAATTTTGAAAAAGTCTCTACCAGGATTCTTTACCAATACACAAATGCACTCAAAATGGATTATAGACTAAATAATAAATCTAAAATTACTGAACTTCCAAAAAAACTGCCACTTTACGTGGGAGATCCAGATGGAGTCCTAGGTTCCCAGGCCTGGCCATTTGGAAGTGTGCCAGCTAATGGATGATACTTCTTTCTCTTGGACTGCCTCTCTCCTCCTCCATTGCTCCCTCTCTCTGTCATCCTGCCTTTCAAGTAAATAAGTAAATCTTAACAACAACAACAACAACAAAAAACCAACACTACGGGAGAAAACTTAAAATTGATCTAAGGGAGACATCATAGGTGGGATTGCAACCATAGACATGAGGGAGCTTCACAGAGTGATTGAAATGTGTATTTTGGTTGTCAGATTCTTAGTACTGCATACCTAAAATGGGTGAATTTTACTTTACGTATTTTTAAAACTGACTTAATCTATGTTCTTTTATTCAATTATTGTAGAAAGAATAGAATTAAAGTTAACATTCTACATCCTTTAGTAAAATGATTGCTTCTATCAAGGATCATGGATGAATGCTAAAACCATGAAATAGAATGTTATGGAATGGTATATTGACATTGACTTCTTTGGAGTTTGCTGATCTTTATAATTTGAGTAGATCTGTGTCACCACCTTAAGCAAGTGACCAGTCAAATTTAACAATGCTGACCAAGGGAGAAGTATGTATTATGTCCCTCCTGACTTTCAATAATAAAAAGTATGCAGCAACAGCAGTACCTAAGAGCTATTCCAATCAAAGAATACCTCACCTGGATGTACTTTAGAGGAAATGTAAGAGATAAAGCAATGAATTAAATTACACTATTAGAAAACAATTAGATAAATCTGAGATGTGGAATATTCTCTAAGACAACTTGATTGATATTTTCAAAAACATCCATGTAATAGGGCATAAAAGGTGCCGTGCTGAGGGTACAGTGCTAGGTCAAAAGAAAGATGACAGCTTAACAGTGCCTAAATACTGATTTGATTATGATTTTGAGGGGAAAAAATAGCTCAAAGAAAATTTCAATATAGACTGGCTACATTCAGTGATATTAGGAAGTTACTTTTCATTGTTTTGAGGTATAGCAACAGAATTGTTACATGGGAGAAAGTCTTTATTTTCAGGGTATGGGAAGTATTATTAAGTAGAAGGAAGTCTATTTCCAGTATGAGTTTTAAGAGGTAGAGTGTCTTGTTAGTGACTTAAGTGTAGTCCCTACCCCACAAAAAGCAGATGGGTAAAAGTTTAATGATTGTAGCTATATATTTATACTACTTTACCTTTTTCCCTGCAAGTTTGACATTTTTCATAATAGAGGGGAATGTTTTTTAAATATTTATTTATTTATTTATTTATTTGAAAGGCTGAGTTATAGAGAAGGAGAGACAGAGATCTTCCATCACTCCCCAAATGGGTGCAGTTACCAGGGCTGGGACAGGCTGAAGCCAAGAGCCAGGAGCTTTACCCCGTCTCCTCTGTGGGTAAGGGGTTCCCAGGAATTTGGGCCATCTTCCACCACTTTCCCAGGTGCATTAGCTGGATTGGAAGTGGAACACCTGGGACTGGAACTGGAGCCTGTATGGGATGCTGGCACTGCAGGCAATGTCTTAACTGGCTGTGCCATAGTGCTGGCCCCAAAGTTGGATTGGGGGTCAAGCGATGTTTTCAGAACTCAGTTGAGAGTATTTTTGAAGATGGCCTTCTAATATGAAGTGCATTCTTTCAGATCACTGCATTCCTAGGAATAGCTTTTTTTTTTTTTTTTTTTAACCACTCTGCTGGGCACTGTAACATTGGCCTACATTGAGAACTGAGACAGAAGCATTTCTGTAAAGTGCTTGAAGTGCTCTGTGTTGTGGGGATGTTTTTTGAGAACTTTGCTTACTATATCACGTGGTGTTCTTTGGGAAAGATGAAACTTTGCATTTTAATAACAAGAATAATTGTGTTGCCTTTGAGAAACTGGGTTTTTGGTGTGTTACAGATATCCAGTTATGTTATGCTGCTGAAAAGCTCAGATCTCACTTTTAGGCAAGCTTTAGCAGGTGCACTTCCCAGCTGTTCCTTACCATTTTCTTATTTTTCCTGCCTGCCCTTATTTTTCCCGTTATTCTGATTCCTTCCTCTGTTTTTTGGTTGTATTTATTTTGTAAGATACTTTGTGTGCAACAATGTTCTAATGGTATTAAAAGAAATTGAAATAATGTAGTTTACTATAAGAAAGTTAAAATCTAAATGACAGGTTTTCTCTTTTTTTTTTTGAGAGTTTTTTTAAAAGACTTATTTATTTGAAAGGCAGAGTTACAGAGAGAGGGGGGGAGAGATAGAGAGATCATCCATCTACTGGTTTACTCCCCAAGTAGCCTCAGTGGCTGGATCTAGGCTGATCCAAAGCCAGGAGCTTTTTCCAGGTCTCACACTGGGTGCAGGGGCCCAAGCACTTGAGTCATCTCCCATTGCTTTCCTGGGTGCATTAGCAGGAAGCTGGATGAGAAGTGGAGCAGCTGGGACTTGATCCAGCACCCATATCAGATGCTGGCACTGTAGGTGGGGCCTTACCTGCTATATCACAGTGCTAGCCCTGGTTTTCATGTTATTGTCAGTCATTTAAGTTTGGCAATCCAGGGATCCTATATCCTATAGCCAAATTTAGGAAAAGGGAAAATTTCTAGAAAACTTAATAGATATTTTTAAATGTAATTCAGTAAGATAAAAATGTGCCTAATGAAAAATTACATTACTCACTTTCGAATGGTATCCAAATTCCTTTCTCTTATAGTATATATCTTCTGTCCATTAAATAAAAAACACTTCTTTAGCATCAGCACTTTGATCCAATGTTATATTTATAGTTTGTTCTTGCTACCTTCTTGGAAGTTGCAATCAATCAACCAGTCTCTTTTTGAAATTGTTATATGACTTTACCATATTACCTGACAGCAAAAGGCATGGAGCAGGCTAGCATGCTAAAATATGTACATGAATTAATGATGACTAAGACATTATATACAAAAGTAGGAGTGTTTTTTGATGTGCTTTACGTTTATTCTAACTTAAAAAATTCATTTAATATATGTGGTTTCTTCTTTAGCTGATTACTAAGTTTGGTGGGATTTTCCACTGAAATATTTTTGTTTTTTGTCTCTTTTTTTGGTCCTCCTTTAAAAATCTGGAAACTTCATTGTTGAACTAAATTATCCTGAGAGGCTTTTGTATTTGTAAAACTAAGTTTTGATTTTATATTTTATATTTGAGCACACTTAAATCTTAACCTTAATAACTTAAGATCTCCCAGAGTGAGGGATACATTAATATTAATTGCCAAACTGAGGTAGTTGTGAGTGAGGTAAGATTCGTCTCCTTTGCTCCAGGGAAATGATTCCTAGACCTAGGATTCAGCTTTCTGCGCTCACATCTCTGGAATTTTCTTGTAGTTTACCAAATATGGTCAAACAAGGTGTATCCTTTTCTTTTGTTTTGTACCTGTTTTTAAGTACTATTCATTCAAAGTCTTACCCTTATTCATTTCTTAACACATAAAAATCAAGTTAAAATTTGCAGTAGTGTCTGTCAGTCATGTGAACTCTGTACAACATCTCCATTTATACTGCTTCACACATCACTCACAGGACAAGTTCCCACAAAGACCTGTTTTGTTCTACTGTTGATCCACCCTAAAGAAACCAGTTTCCTAACTATGCACAGCTTTGTAAATCAAGATGAACTAGTCCGAAATTGGACACAGAAACAAACAAGAAACCAAATAATGCCTCCTAATTAACAAGCGCAAAGTATTAAAAGTAGTAAAACTGCAGGTAATAAGATGGTCTGTATTCTAAGAATATTCCTTTTGGAAAGCTTCTGTGACATTCATATTGTAATCATAGTTCCAAGTCATTAGCTCATTCCTCTTATTGTTAGAATTAAGGAAACAAAAGTCACTGCTTTCAGTGAGATTTTGTAAGCAAAAGAGAACAATGAGAACAATTGATGAAATGTGAACTCCATTTCTGCATGTTTCTTAGCCAGCCTGGTTTGTGATAATAAAGGGCTGAGGTTGCAGGGCAGAGTATTTGGAGTGTAGACAAATTTTCTTTCTGGTAAGCTAGTGGATCAAGGGCAAGAGGGGAGATAATGACATTCAGCAATTGGTTTCCCCAGGACTCTGCGTCTCTGTCAGGAAGAAAGGAATGCACCGATACATAATTCATAGATAGCAGAATATATTTTTCACGATAGAGTTAAACTCGAACATAATTTATTCACAGATTAATTTATGTATTTGAAAATATCCTTGAAATATTTTGTCTTTGAATAAGTGTTTTGTCAAATTATTTTCTTTTTGTATAGAACTTATAGTATCAACACTGTTCAAAAGGTGTGCTTTATTTCAGATGATTTAGAGTATACATTATGCTTTTAACTCACTGACCAACAGCATTTCAAATAATCTGTGTCTTTGTGATGTGTTTCTTTCTCCCCTGAGAAATTTTTAAAAAGAAACAAAAGGAGCAAAGAAAATTTAAAATGTCCTCTATTCATTATTCCAACAATGGGCAAAGACCAAGCTTCCACAGCCAAAACAAAGTAGACAATTCTCAGAGTACTCAGAGAAAATAGGTAGTCTAAATCCTGATTCAAATTGGTATGTTACAGAATTTAAAACTGTTAAAAAGAATATATGACCATTTACATTTTTTTATCCTTCTCTTTTCTCAACTTTCTTTTGAAAAGAAAATTAAAAACACTTTTTCCCCTCTTCAAGCCCTTTCTTCACCAGGATATTCACGTGCATGTACTTGTTTTCTGTTTTGAAGATACCATATTAGCAGGGGAAATTTTCTAAAGTATTTTTCCTAACATGAGAATACAAGAGGATAAAATTGAGTAATGAAATAAATGCTTTCTTGCTTCCAGCTGCTTCTCCCTGGCAGTCCTTGTTCAACTTATATGGTCTCTGCTCTCCCCCTGCCAGCGGACAATTCAGGACTGATTTCTCAGTTTAATTCCAACTCACTGGTAGGATTTGTATTGTTAAAATAGTAGTCTTTAAGATAGGAGTTAGGATTCATTTTATTGCATTTTTGCTGAGGCATAATTTATGTCATAAAATGCGCATGTCTTCACTGTATAGTCTTGAGTGTTAATAACATAAATATCAGGGTGAATGGGGGGGACTTGCTCAATATATACCTGCCAGGATGTTAAGAAATTTCTAGATGATTCTGCACTACACCCTGTTAAGATCCATTGCCTTTGTAAAGAACCAAACTGAATAGTGTATGTAAAAATGCACAGTGCTTCAGAATGTTATACAGATTAAATTTTGTTATTATTTCTTAAAAACTTAACGTTTCTCATATGCCTTTTTATAGGATTTGTCATTTAGGCTCATGAGTGAAAAATCTCAATTTGTTTTTCTATTTATTTTTAAGAGAATTAATGCAAAACTTCATGAGGGAGTGTGTCAGCGCTGTAAAGAAGTTCTTGAATGGCGGGTAAAATACAGCAAATACAAACCATTATCGAAACCTAAAAAATGGTGAGTTAAATTTCTTAATTACCTTAGCAGTGATATTTTTATATATATATGTATATTTATTTATTTATTACAGCTTACTGTTTAGTTTCTTAATTTTCAAAATTGTATCCAACTAAGTATTAAGATAAAGAAAGAAAAAATTCCCTTGTCTCAAGTAGAATTTGCTTACTGATTCTTCGTTTACCACGGGAGACAGATTATGGAGAATAGATTCATCACTCCCTGTCCTATTCTTTCATAAATAAATAATGCACTGCTTTTATAAAAGGTGGGTTAGGGCAAAGAGTAGAAAGTTTGTTTTGCAAAATTCTATCTCTGTCTGAAGAGATAATATTTACTATAGTTGTATTTATAATTTTTTTATGAAGTAGAAAAACTGTTCCTCAGGATTATAGATAAGGGCTATAATCAGTAATCAAACCTCAATATGTAAATTTCACTCATGTATAGTTTTTTTATACTCTGTACTAGCTGCTGCATATAGAAAACACATAGTATTTATCTTTTGGGAATTTGTTTCATTAAGCATAGTGGTCTCCAGTTGCATCCGTTTTGTTGTAAAAGACAGGAGTCCATTTTTCATATGGCTGAGTAATATTCCATCATGTTTATGTAAATATATATGTATGCCACATTTTCCTTACCCAGTCATCAGTTGATGGACAACTTAACTATTATGAATTGAGCTGCTGCAAACATGGGGGTAGAGGTAATTCTTCCATATGCTGATTTCATGTCCTGTGGGTAAATTCCCAGGAATGGAACGGCTGGGTCATTCTTAAAAGAGATCTAACCGTCTAATTCAATCCCTGAGAATTACTGAAATGACAGATTGTCATTCATATAAATAAATCACTAGGTTATTAGTTTATGATTTCATATGTTTGAAGATTTGGTTTAAATTTTTTGAAAAATCCTAGATTTTGTTTCTCACCTCTCTGTCCCTAACTCTGTATACTACTGGGATTCTCTTATATCATGCGTGTATACATCTTGTGTGCCCCCTTCCATCCTTCAGCGCACCTGAGCAAGGATAGTATAGGAGGGTCATTGCTGTGTCAAACAGATGTGATTGCTTTATATATAAAAGTAAGCATGTCCTTTGTGCTTTATGAGTTTTAGTTTGGAAATCTATTTGGTAACTATTTAGAATGTGATAAGTTTGTTGCTTTATTTTTCTTTAAGTTATTGAGCAGGTATTTATTCCTTCTTTTATGGGAGGAAATTTTACTTGAAGTTCGGAAGGTTAGTCTAAAAAATAACGATACTATAACCTGTGGTGTCTGTCTGTTGGAAAATGATGTCAAATTTTTTGCAAATCTAAAGTTCAAGCTATAGGATTATTGTTTTCTTGAGAATATTTGATAGCTTTTAGTGTTACAATTTGGGTGATTTGTGTTGCCTACAATCCTGCTTTTTAATACATAGAGGTAAAAACTTCAAGTTTCTCTCTTTCTGAGTTTTTTGTTATTTTCCAGCATTTTCTACCAAAAGAAAACACAGTTGGTAGGTTTTATGATCATTGGCCCAAATTAGCAGTAGGGAAATTTGGCAGCTGTTTACAGTATTGAATTTTAAGTTTCCATGAATGAATTAACTGTATCTTCTACTATAATTTTAGGTGCTGGTTGGGCAATAAATCATGTTCTTTTGGTTAATAGACCTAAATATCAGATTTATAGCTGTCTGAATATTTTCAACGTCTTTTTTTCCTACAAAGTTATTTAAGATTGCATTTCCAATATTCATCTTTTCTTGGTAATCTTTTAAAAAAATTGAACTCTATAGGACAATTGCTTGCTGTATCTTAGGATGCTGCATGGAGCACCCACATCCCATATTGCAGTGCCTGAGTTTGAGTCTCAGCTCCATTTCCAATCCAGTTTCCTATTATTGTACACCCTGAGAGGCAACAGATGATGGCTCAAATACTTGAGTCCCTGACACCCATAAGGAAGACTCTGAATGAATTCTACTCTCCTGGCATTACCTTCACATAGACCTAACGGTTGTAGGCATTTGGGAAATAAGTCAGTGGATGGAAGGTTGATGTCTCAAGCGATTCAAAGATGGCTGAGTAGTGAAAAGATATGCTGATTTTGACCAAGGGAAGATAATAGAAGAAAAGTGGAGGAAGTGCATTCCCAGGGGAGAACTGGAGAGAAGTTTACAGTGGAAATTCTACAGAAAGGAGATGCCTTGGAGCACTGTGGATATTACAAACACTCAACAATGAGTGGGAATACCACTAGTGACTCTCATAGCTGGGGGCTAGAGGACACATCAGCTGCTGAGAGTGAGGTGAGAGCAGACTGTGGAAGCCCATGTCATTGATGATATTGCCTGAGGGAGAGCTTTATAGACCACACTGACTTTGAGTCCAGCCTGGAGCCCTAGCCAGGGACAAGTTCCCTGGTGAACGAGAAGCACATTTCTTTCTCCCCATATCCCAAAAAGGTGCCCAGTCACCAGCAGGGAGAAAGAACCATCTTAACACCAGTAGAGGCTACAATGGCTCTAATACAGGCATGTGACTTGGGGATTTTATCAGAAGAACAAATCCAGATTCCTCACTGACTATGAGTCTGGTCCTTTGGAGGGTTAGTAGGGGGCTGGGAACCCACTTAAGATTGTGACGTGTTCCCATCCCCCCTACCCTATCACAGGCTCTGGAGCTCAAACTGCCAAGGCAGAGCACCTACAGCCAGCTGCCTCTGGGAATGCCTCTGCACTTCCTGTGGATGGGGCAGGCTGATGGAGCTGAGAGTGGATTCTTTGTGCCCTGTGACTGTGGGAGCCTTGCACATTATCACTGTGGAAATTCTGCAACTGCATGATAGGGCATGGGGTGTAGCTGGGTCCCTAGGCAATCACCATGTCTGGCTTCAGAGGCTCAGAGCTGTCTGATTTCCTGGAGTGGGTCATTGCAGAAGATTCCATGTTCACACTGAGGACCACACAGATCCTTTGTGCAGTTCATGCCCACAGAGATCTTTTGTGTGGTTCATGCACCTGTGTGGGTGGAGGTTGTAGCCACTGTGGGCTAACACTGGTCATTGATCTCATTGGAAGAGAGGTGAGGCTGTAATTAAGCCAGCTGAAGTGTTCATATGTTCCCTCCTGCTGACAATACAGGAGATCTACTCCACCCAAATTGGGTGTCGCCCTGGACTCTCACCACACCCTGAGCAATGATCAGAGCTCCCTGGCCTCACACAGCACATGCCTCTGGATATCCACTGAAGGAGCAGATACTCCACTAGGCCACAGGGGCATAGTTCAAAGGTAAAAGCCATCAGGAAGAACACTGAAAAGTGTTTCCACAAATGCCTAAAAATAAATGCAGGAATACAAGAAACAAGAACAAAGAAGACAACATGACTCCCCATAAGGAACACAGCAACACTTCAATATTAGAATATGAAGATGAAGAGATTGATAAAATGCCTGAAAAAAGAGTGATCATAAAATTAGCCAGAAACATAGAGAAACAAATTCATGAGATAAAGAAATCCATACATAATATGGATAAAATATTTTGCCAATAGATAGAGATTTTGAAGAGAAATCAAACTGAAATAGTAGAAATGAAGGATTCAATATGCGAATAGAAAATACAGTGGAAAGCCTCAACAACAGACTTGGTGAGGCAGAAGAAAGAATATCCAAGCTAGAAGATGAATCTTTGGAAATATTTCAGTCAGACAAAAAACAAAAAGAAAAATAAAAAGAAGAAATTAGAAAAACTAAAAGTAATGAAGGCATGAAAAGAGAGAATGGATTAGAAGGCCCATTCAGTGAAATAATAACAGAAAACTTCCTTAACTTGGAGAAAGAAAGGCACATCCCAGTAAAGGAAGCACAAAGGACTCCAAATAGACATAATCAGAAGAGATCTTCATGATGACACATTATAGACAAAGTTTTAACAGTAAAAACAAAAAGATTCTAAAATATGCACAAGAGAAATGCCAGATTACTTTCAGAGGATACCCAATTAGACTAACATGATTTCTAATCAGAAACTTTCCCTACAGGCTAGAAGAAAATGGCAGAAAATCTCCTAGTAAAAGTACAAAGGAAATTCAAAGCAAAAAGTAGGAATATTTATGAAGCAGTGGTAGTACCGAGTCATTAGTTATCATGGCCTAAATTCTCCAATTAAAAGATACAGATTGGCCGAATGGATTAAAGAATGAGACCCATCTTTTTGCTGCCTACAAGAAACACATCTTACCAACAAAGCTACTCACAGAAAGTGAAAGGATGGAAAAAGATATTCCATGTGATGGAAAGCAAAAATGAACATATTTAGCCATACTAATATCTGACAAAATAGTCTTTAACATAAAAAAATTAAAAGAGACCAAGAAAGGCATTATGTAATTATCAGGGGATCAATTCAATAGGAAGATTTTTTTTTTAATAAATGTAAATTTACAAAGTGCAACTTGCATTGTTGTGGCTTTTTCCCCCATAACCTCCCTCCCATCTGCAGCCATCCCATCTCCCACTCCCTCTCCCATCCCACTCTTCATCAAGTTTCATTTTTTTCAATTATCTTTATATACAGAAGATCAACTTAGTATATACTAAGCAAAGATTAATACACATACATACACCTAATTACAGGGCACCTGGCTATTTAAAAGAAATGTTAATGGATCTAAAGGGGAATATAGGACTCCAGTACAATAATAATGGGGGACTTATATACTCCACTTTCTTCACTGGACAAGTCAACTAGACATAAAATCAACAATGAAACTACAGAGCTAATCTACATGATGGAGCAAATGGACCTAATTAATATCTACAGTACATTTCATCCCACAGTTGCAGAATACACACTCTTTTTATCAGTACATGGAGCAGCTTTCTATAGGATGGATCATATGCTAGGCCATAAAATGAGTCTCAAAAAATTCAAAAAAATTTGAAATCATGCCATGTATCTTTTCTGATGGCAATTGAATGAAGCTGGAAGAAACTATAGAAAA